GTCTTTGAAAGCAGTTACATCCTATTGCTTATTTCAGAGCAAACAAAAGGGACCATTTTGAAATTCAATACTTGCTGTAGTTTTTTGATCAGCAAGCAGAAGAAAGAAATCCAATCAATACGTGGACTCCCTGAGCAAAATATATTTCTTTCCTCTGTGGAAACCTATCTTGCTACTTAGACTTCTCTCTATGGCTGCCTGATTTGGTCTGTGGTCTGATCATGGCTGCTACCCTTGCTAAACGTTCTTCAGGAAGCATTCACCCCATGTCTGTGACCATATCATAGGACTGTCTGCAAGCAGACAGTCTGTGTCCTTCCTTGTTTCCCCTGGGGACTGATTAGGCTCACCTATTGGCCTTTGGCCTGCAGCTCTCTTTCTAGTTGCATGTTCTCAATTCCTGAATGAGTATTCTGTTCTGGGAATTCACCCAAGTCTTGCCTACAGTTCTTTGCTTCCCCAGCTCTTCGGATGACTGGCTGATCATTTATATCTCTGTTCAAATAAGGCCTCCTAAACGCTTACCTTCCCAGCTGGAGCCTTTCTGCCCCCCCCCCCCAATCTACTCGATTCTATTTCATTCACTAAACTAACTGCAGCTGAAACAGTTTATGGTAGTCCAATTTTTGCCGGGTGGCTCTTTTTGATAGAGCATATAGGGATGTTTGTGGATTACAGATGCTAGAAGTCTTCACCCCTTTATTACAATACATAAAAAGTGGGCACTTGTTATATTTAATAGGATGAATCACTAATTCCAATCCTGGACTTTTTGTAGATGGCATAGGTAACACATCAACAGAGCAGCATGGCTTCTGGCTGGCCATGGGGTCAGGAAGCAGAAGGCATTACTTACTAGCCATTTATTCTTCTATTTTCTCCCCCAGTGTTGTTTTGAGGTACTGGAGTTTGAATTCAGCACTAGTCAAGTGCTCTACCATTACTGGTAGAAAGCCACAAGAAAAAACTTATTGTCCATTTATTATTTTTCTGATATAACATTGATTCCTTTCCATACTGTATCTCATTTAATGCTCATAATGTTGCTGTGAACATATACTACGATACTCAATTTTAGATGAGATGTACAGGAGTAGAATATTTCATCCATGTAACATCACAGAAAAGTAAATGATACTGGACTTGACTTTACACTAACTGCAAAGTGTCTGTGTGGTTAACACATGCAATACTGATCTCCTTTCAAAATGACTGATATTGCATTTCCATATTTAGATGTATAATTGTTATTGTTGGAGTTAGAAAAATGTGTTTTTTTCTTTTCTGTGCCATCCTTGAACTTGGACTCAGGACCTGCGTGCTGTCCTTGAGCACTTTTTTCCAAGGCTAGTTCTGTACCACTTGTACCACTTGAGCCACAACTTCACTTGCAGCATTTTTTTTAGTAGTTTATTAGAGATAAGAGTTTTCAAGACTTTTCTACTCAGGCTGGCTTCAAACCTTGGTCCTCAGAGATAAGCCTCCTGAGCACGTAGGATTAAAGGTGTTCCTTTTAAGAGTTCATTTCTTTTGTTGGTACTTAGACTCTAAAAGTGTAGGATTCATTTATAAACAAAATTCACATCTGCTCTTCAAATAAATGCTAAGGAAATTTGGTATCTATTGTTTGGCTGCTTATGGTACTGGGGATTAAATGCAAACTTGCTTATGTTAAGCACATGGTACTGAATTGTAGTCTATACCACAATTTTGAGATTGAAAAAACAAACAAGTTTTGCCCTTGTGAGTGTCTCTGGAAGGCTATCCAAGGGTTACTGTTATGTGAAAACAGCATTATGTCAAGGTACGATATGCAGCTGGCATAGTCAGTATCTAAGAGTATGGGAATATTATCTAGTTAAGTTGGAAATCTAATTAATAGCTTCAACTCCATACGTTTTATTTTGTGTGAGTGTGTTTGATCTTGTACAATACATACACATGCTGTTTTTTGGGGGGTGGGGAGCGGGGTCCGGTCATGGGTCCTGAACTCTGGGCCTGGGCGCTGTCCCTCAGCTCCTCAGCTCAAGGCTAGCGCTCTACCACTTGAGCCACAGCACCACTTCCGGCTTTTTTCTTTTTGCTTATGTGGTGCTGAGGAATCGAACCCAGGACCTCAGGCATGCAAGGCAAGCACTCTACCACTGAGCCACCTTCCCAGCCCCCACATTCTTTTTTATAAGTAATAAGGAATGTCATATTTCACATCATTTACTTCTGACTATAATCTGTGTTTTGGTCATCTCACATGACCTGATTTCTAAAACTCACCTGCTTTTTTGCCCTTTACTTGCAAACAAAGCACCATGATTTATTTACTTATTTTATACAGCAAGCTTCCACCTTATTTGCATTAAATAACAAGTTCAGAAGTAAAAGTAAGTTTGAAACTTTGATCCACGGTACCTGATTATTCAATGGCATGCTTGTTATGGTGTCTGGAAAACTAGCTACTGGATACGGCCACTTTTGACACGCACATATACAATCACGAAGCTATGAGTACCATTGCTATCAATAATCTCATGTCCACGAGAAATTCCAGATTTTTCTCTTTCTTTGACAATATTGGGGGCGGAGGGGAAATAAACTCCGATACTCACACGTGCTAGACAGGAGCTTTAAGCACTGAGAAAACAGCTCCAGGCCAGACATTTGAGTGAGGTTCTCACTCCCTGTCAAGACACATTCCTGTGTTAGACCTTCTTGTAGCTAGAAAAATGGACACACGTCAATCTCAGCCTCCCAAGAAGATAAGGTTACAGGCATAAGGCACTCTCAGCCAGCGCAGATTATTCTTTATTGTGTCATACATACACAACTTGATTACAGAGGAATTAAATGTAGTTCACTTAGCAAGAATGAACAGTCTATGTAGGGCATAAATAGCAAGATCAGTAATTTGTAGTCAGCGAGGTTGCCATTACTTAGTGTATATGATTTAGTCTTAGAATGTTTTAAACTGAAAATTCTAGGCCATGAGTTAGAAGATTAACCTACAGTTTGAAAGATGTCTAAGGGAGCTGAAGATGAGCAGAGCTAGAGAAAGCAACTGTCATAATCAAACCTGAACTAGGATTTAATTAGAAAATGCTTATAAAACAAACATGTAATTTTCCTCTGCAACCTATTTCAAAATAATCATGATCTATGTTAGCTCATCTTTCCATTAAACTAACCCAGTTTCATAAACATGTGGAAGATTCATTATTATTTTACTCCTGCTGCAACATTGCATTAATCAACCAACTGCTCTCTGATGTTCCAAAGTTGGAAAGAATACCTAACCACCTTGTAGGTAACATCATGCTTACTAAATTAAACTTGCTCTAGCAAAAATTCAATGCGCTATCTTGACTTGGCAAGGCCCACCCAAATATATCAGGCACAACTTGTATTCTTTAGGGATTTGGAGTTTAGTGATGAACATGCACACAGAAGAACCTCTGATATTAACCACAGTCACACCAATAAGAATGTAAACAAGAGGAAGCGCAGTTTAAAGGCTGATGACTATGAATCCCACTTTGGGGAAAGAGGTGAATAGCTGAAACTTGAAAGTCAAAGATGAGTGGCTAAGTGTGGTAGGACCTGTCTAGGTGGTACGCTGGTGGGCACAATGTGAACAGATGAATGACCCGAGTATACTGCAAAGAGTTATGGAAAACAAGGAAGGTGAGGGCCAGATCAATGATGGCCACCAGTGAACATAACGACATATATGGTTTAACTCAGCCAAAGATCCATTCTAAAGGAAGAGAAAGGCTTTGCCTCTGGTGGAGCTCTCCCTCCTTATTTGTGTGTGTGTGTGTGTGTGTGTGTGTGTGTGTGTGTGTGTGTGTGTGTGTGTGTGTGTGTGTGTGTGTGTGTGTGTGTGTGTGTGTGTACTGAGACTAGAACTCAGGTCCTCTGCATTATGCTTTAGGTTTCATTTGAGTCACAGCCCTACATCCAGTTTTTTGGTGGTTAACTGAATGTCATAGTCTCAAGGACTTTCTTACAACCCTGCCCAGACTGGCTTCCAAACACAGATCTCAGCCTTCTGAGTATGAATATGAACCACCAGCAGCTAACAAGTATCTTTATTTTTATTTAAGACAGGATCTCTTTAGATTTGTGCTTTGAGCTGGGTACCAGTGGCTCATGGCTGCAATCCTAGCTATTCAGAAGGATGAGATCTGAGAATTGTGGCTCAAAGTAGACAGCGATAGCACCAAGGCCCAGAGTTTAAGCCCCAGGACAGGCAAAATCAAAAGAAGAAAGGAGGAGGAGGAGGAAGGAGAGGAAGAGGAGGAGGAGGAATAAGGAGGAGGAGGAGGAGACGAAGAAAATATTTGTGCATTAGGTGAGCTTTTTATTTGGGGGGGGGGGGGGGCGGTGTCCATCACAGGGCCTTAACGCTGTCCCTGAACTCTTTGAAAACTCAAGGCTAGCGCTCTACCACTTTGAGCCACAGCGCCACTTCCAGTTTTCTGGTGGTTAAATGGAGAGAAGAGTCTCACAGACATTCCTGCCCCGGCTGGCTTTGAACCACCAATCTTTAGATCTCAGCCTCCTGAGTAGGTACAGAGGCAAGCCACCACGCCTTGCCAGTGAGCCTGTTCATAAAATCAAAGATAACAGTAGACTAGCCACCTAGTTAGAGAGCTTGAGAGCCAGTATGAAAATCACACTGTGGAAACAGGTCAGGGCTAGGAAACACATGGCATAAGAGAAACACCAAGAAGAGCTGGCTGGATGCCAATCAACATCGAACGGATCCACCACTCACTTTTGGCCCAAGAATTCCCTTCTACAACGCAAGATTAACATCATCATAAACTTCCTCTGAAGGAGTCTAAGCAGACTTGTCCTTGGTCAGAGGAAAGTGGAGCTCTGAGTGCATTCACCATGACAAGCTTCCAGCCTCTATCCTTTCTCTAGCCTGGAAGATGGGGAGACCACACATTCTCCTACGAGAATCGCCCCTTTGGATGCCTCTCAATGCTCTTCGTACGTACCATTCTCACTCCATTTTCAAAGGCTTGTCGGGTGAGGGGAGCAGGCCCATCTACAGTCTTGCCGTCATCATCTGGGCCCCAGCTGGCGCTGTAAATGTGCACATGCTGGGGGTTGAAGCTGACTGATTTTGCTTCCACCATGTCTGTGACATCTCCATCCAGCATTCGCACACCTTCAAAGCAGAAAAAGCAAGTACGCGTTCAGTGCACAACTTCTCCTTTATGACATCCCTGAAACTCAGTATCAGGATTAGGGGAAGAGAATACATTTGCTAGCTGTTGTTGGTTTTTGTTTGTTTGTTTTGTTTTGTGCCTGTATCAGGGCTTCATTGGAACAATGTCTTCACCTCAGCTTTCTGCTCCTTAATTGGAGAGTCTCCTGGAATTATCTCCCTAAGCTAGCTTGCAAACATGATACTCCAGGTCTCAGACTCCTATGTAGTTAAAGAATAATGCATACTTTGAAGAGACAGTCTTGGAGAAAAAAAGTCATATTGCATGTAAAAGAACAAATTTTTAAAAACAACTATTTTTTTCCTCTATTTGGTTTTTCCAAGGTTCCAATTTCTACAACAGCTACCATAATCTCGTCTTTCTCCTCATCCTTTCCTAAATGGTACTGGACAAAGATCCTCAAGTAATTTACCTTCCTGAATTTCTCATCATTGAGTAATTTGGGTTCATATTTGGTATAAAATAGTCTAGCCTAGACAGGAGCAGGTGGCTCATATTTAGATATTCAAGAGGCTGAGACCTGAGAATCATGGTTTGCAGTCAGACAGGGCTGAAAAGTTCTGACAGTCTTATCTCCAATTAACCACCAAAAAGGCTGGACGTGGAGCTGCGGTTCAAGGGGTAGAACCCTAGCCTTGAGCAAAAAAGATGAGGGAAAGTTCACAGGCCCAGTACGGGCATAAGAAAAAATACATAAAATAACCAATTCATTCTAACTTTAGCAGTCTTGTAAAAGCTCGAAAGTTGTCAAGTTAGCTTGGCTTCATTTCCTATATATTTAATATTATCTCTTACTTTTCAGATTGATGTAAACTTAATATATATGATTTTTGTAACATTATTTCTCAGTCAAGTAATAAATGGGAATGTGCATAATACTTCAAATAATTCTCAAAGAGTTTTAGCAATAGAAATCAATTTATAATTAACCCCATTTTGCAAAACGAGTCCCTGTGATAGGCAGAAGTAAATTGAGCGCTGTGGCTCAAGTGGTAGCCTTGGGCTGAAGAGCTGAGGGACAGCGCCCAGGCCCAGAGTTCAAGCCTCATGACTGACAAAAACCAAAAAATAAATAAATAAATAAACTTGTACAGAATGAAGTTCTTCAAGAACTTCATTCCCTAGGTAGAATTACAAAATTCTCTTGGTTTTCAATAAACAGTTAATAGTAAAACCTTAAATCAAGGATTAGATATTATATGAATTGAATTGAGACTAATTTGTGGGAAATGAAAATAAATCGAAGGAAATATACTTTCTATTTTGCAAAAAATTAACTTTAAAACCTGCAAAAAATAGAAATGATGCACAATCCAATAAACAACGATTCAACCATTGTTAAAATTTGCCTAATTTTCTTCTTCAGAAAACACACATCAGATTGAAATATTTTGGCCTCCATGAGTGATAGATACAACAATCATTTAATGTATTTTTTAAAAAAATATAGAGTGAAGTCTCTATTGTCACCTAACTTCCAACAACGTAACCTTGCAACAAATATCTCTACAGATGTTCCAGGTGGCTGTTACATCTCTGTAACGGCTAACCTTGATTGCCGGGTTCACTGGGTTGAGAGATAGCTAGGAGATTAATAAAGAACACTTCTCAATGTATTTCCTGACGGGATTGGTGCATCTGAAAGCAGCTGAGTGGAGAGAGATCTGGCAGGAAGAGGGGTGGCAATATCCAATTGGCCAGGGCAGACGGTGAAAACAGGAAGAATCCAGCCACTGTATGCATGCCCACTCTTCCTAAGACAGCGTCGATGCCGCTGGAATTAAGGCTCCATCGTAAGCTTTTTCAGTGATTTGTGCCAGCCACTCTTCAGGAGGTTTTCAAGCCATAGGCCTCCTGCTGGAGCTTTATCCCTGGTTTCCTTATTCTGAGGCTTCTAGCACCTTGGATGATGTACATACCAGATTGAGCATCTGACTCTCTAGCCTGAAGATGGCTATTGTTGGACTATATCTGGCCTCTATTTGTATAATCCTACCAATAAATACCCTTTTATAATTATACTTAATTAATTACAATGATCACAGGTCATTACTGTATAATTTATATGTACATCTATAATTATGGTATGCCAGAATGTCCATGTATAGAGCCATTTTAAGACATAATCATCCCCTTGATTTTTGTTTAAAAGAGGAAATTCTGGTAAGATAGGTCAGTATGTTTGCATGTTTACCCCCTTCTTCCTTTGGGGTCAGCAAGTGTGCTGGGTTTAGGTTGGAGTGGAATCATGACCATGTAGACAGTGAGTCTGTAGGTGAGAGTTGAGTCCTAGTGGCAGGCCAGTCAGAATCTCACTGCTTTGGGAGGATGCTTGAAGCATCTGCATCGCTCTTCACGAAAAAGCTTTTGTCTCCTTTCCTTAGTTTTTCCACATTCCATCACAAGCAGATACTCTGAGGAATGCTAACTACCGGACAATAATCACAAATGAAGGATTCAGGGTGAAATAAAGGAATAAACGAGGTTAAAGGTACAGTGGATTGAGAATCAGCTGACTGTCACAAAACCTTTTCCTAGCACTGTTACTAAATAGGATAGCTCCATCTTATCTGTGGTTTTCCTTCAGTAATTTCAGTCAACCATGATCAACTGAGAACTGAAAATATTAAATGGAATATCCCAAATAGACACAATTCATACTTTAAAGCAATCTTTCTTACCTAGTGACGTGATAGCTCTCTGTGTTATATTTTGTTATTATTCATTTATTATCTGGTTGCAGATGATTTGTTCACGTTATGACATTTTCAACAGCCCCTTTGGGAATATCTTCAGGCCAGGCATAATTATAAAATGACTCAAATCTGTGTACAATAGTTTCTTCCCATTCGTGAGTGGCTGTGGCAATTGGTTGTTGCTTAGGAAGATGAGTACGAATGAGAATGTCGGAGTTTGGTTCTATCAACATGTATGTTTACACTGCCTTAACCAGGTCCTTACATTAAAAGGTCAGATAAGTTGATGTTAGGGGAAGGAGCCCCAAGATAAGTATTCAAATGTTTTTTGGTTTTTTTTCCTTTCATGCAATTGTTTCTATCATATTTATAAGATGATTTCTATGTTGCTTTGTATGTTCCTTCCCCACAGTATAACCCATACTTTCACTAGTTTTGATGTTGGTATAATTTGTGGAGGGGAAGGGAAAAAACAAATCGCTTAGCAAGGAATACAGGTGGACCCATTGCAACAATGAGATGTGCAAGTCGTTATGTTGAAAAACAAACTTAACAACTTTGGTGGGGGGTAGGGGGTGGATTGGGTGGGAGGAAGGGAGGAGTATGGGAAGGGATGGGAAGGGGAAACAACGAGGAGGCAACAATGCCTGATAAGAAATGGACTCGTTATCTTGCCCATGTAATTGTAACTCCTCTGTAGGGTATTCTCACAATAAAAAAAAAAAAGAAAAAGAAAAAAAAAAAGAAAAAAAAAACAACAACAAAAAAAGAAAGGAACAGCAACTTGTTCCAGCTCATATAATCTCCATTATTTGAATTTTTATTCTCTTTCCTTTCTATTTTTGCTGATCTATTTTTAATTTTCTCTTGTTATGGCCTATGTTTTGGGAAACTCAATGACTAAATTATATCAATAATTTAATTAATCTGAAGTAAGCCAGACCCAAAGAAACATGGTTTCCCTTATTTGCAATAATTAGCATCTGTCTAGGACAATCTTAGCGGATGAGCAGAATAGCCCAGTCGCTACATACATATGACTGCATAATATAAGATGATGTGAAATGATCTCCAAGACACTGACACAAGAGGTTTTTGTTGTAGTTGTTGTTTTTAATGTACTATATGATTTCTTGGTTCTTTTGTATATTCTTCTCCCTATGCTATATCTCTTGTGGTCACTGAATCTGATTTTGGTATCTTGGAATTGTATACACATTTATCATGAACTAGGGAAGGGAAGGGAACAACAGAATGGTGAGACAAAGGACAAGGGGATCAATGCCACAGCGATGCTCACAGACAATATGCTGGAAATGATCTACACAACTTGGGGAGAGGGATGGGGGGAAAGTGGGAGAAAAATGAGGGAGGGGGTAACAAGTTCTACAAGAAATGTATGCACTACCTTATGTATGTAACTGTAACCCCTCTGCACATCACCTTGGCAATAATAATAAATTAAAACTGTTTTATTATCTTTAAAAAAAGTGAGTATTTGAATGTGTACATATATGTGCAAATGTTATTGTGATAATCATGAATCATTCATGAATACACTACCATTAGTTATGGGATGAGAAAACATCATCACGTTAGTTACAATTAAAAGAAACTTTGTGTGAGGCTTAGCCAGCACAAATGAAGGGTTTTCTGCTTGGAGAAAAGGCTCAAAATTCTATTTCCACAGTGATATTTTAGTCTACTGTTTCCAGTATTACTCCTGGCTTAGGCACCAAATGTCAATGGCACAATTATATTAAGGAATGAATGAAATTTGCTCTCAACCCTGAGATTCTTTAAAGGTTCTGCAGCAGTGGTCCTCCAGCTTTACACTAATTCACATTATCATGCTCACGTTGCTGTCAGAAATGGTTGAATACTTCGATGCATAGATTTGGAAACCGCATTGGCAAAATCGCTGTCTGGCTCTGGTCATATGCAGGTAAGTTGGTGTCCCATACCTCCAATCTTGGCGTTGAAAGCAATGCCCACAGTACAGTGAGAGTTGTTTGCAGCCGCCGCCACTTCCCCAGCACAGCGGGTCCCATGCCTGCAGGGAGAACACACCCAGGGGCGAAAGTAAGACACTCCCAACTCACAAACCCAATGGGTCAGAGCCACCACAGAGACCTCAAAGTGGGAAGAAAGCATCCAGAGCTCCCTTACCCACATAGCTCTTTGTCTCTAAGAAATGTTTTAACACATCATTATGCTGCTATAGATTATATTTTTGATCTCTTGCTCCCCCAACAAGATTTCCCTGTCAACTGAAAACAAACTGTCTAGGCTTCTACACAGACTCCAAATGTTTTATGAACAACATGATCGATACTACTACATATGTGAACTATACCTAGGACAACTTATTTAATTTTCATTAAATTAAAAAAATTAATAGTCAATTCACAGTTCAAAAGCATTGAGAATCTCCTTTTTAAGCTGTAGACTTAAATACAGATCAAATACTTACAAAGAAAAGTTGTCACCTAGAATGGGTTAAGCCATAAAATAGACACTGGATTGCAACAATTTTGTATGAGAATAAATGGCTTCTATTTGAAAAGACCTTTAAGAGCCTGGTGTCCAAGGGTGGTAAAGAAAGTACAAGCACAAGCTGATCAGAAGGGTTCGTTAGAAGAGTGCAATGAGAAGGATATTAAGCAAATCACATCCACAGGAAGAGCACCAAGAATAATGTCTCTCATGGCTACAAAAGAAAAAGGGGAAAGACCAGTGGGGTGTGTTTGTTATTGCTAATGATATTCAAAGTAGGAGGGACCTAACTACTGATGTAAACAAGAGCCCAAGGGCAACTAAAACTTAGGTGTCAAATTCCATTAAAAGGCTTTGGATTGCCAGGTGCTGGGACTCACAAATGTAATCCTAAATACTCAGGAGGCTAACATCTGAGGCTTGAGGTTTGGAGCCAGCCCAGGCAGAAAAGTCCATGAGACTCGAATCTCCAATGAACTTCCCAGAAAAAGTCAGAAGTGGTGGTGTGGCTCATGTGGCAGAGCACTACTAGCCTTGAGTAAAAAGACGCTCACGGACAGCACCCAAGACCTGAGTTCAAACTCCAGGACTGGTACAAAAACAAAAGCAAAAACAAAAACCTTTGGATTTTGTTGTTTGGACCACATCTATCATGGGGGATAATCCCAGCCCTACAATTATAAATAAGGTATTGCTTAAAATAGCATGTATACAAGTACACAAAAGAATTATATATGGCTTTTTTTCACTTACTAAAATGATATTTGTATTCCTATATAAATGCTTTATATAGTCTATATTTTTATAGTATAGGTTTCATATACTATATATTTTATATAATGCATATGCTTCAATATCCTATATAAATAATATCTATATTTGTGGTTATTGATGTACTGCAGAGTACTTTAAAATTGATGTAGGCAATATGTATATATTGCTTCATGTATACACATACTCCAAAGCATACCATGTTCCCTACAACATATCCTTTATTTCCCATGTTTTTTTCTTATTAATTTATATGAATGAAAGAATATAAAGGGCACTGTTGAATATATATATATGATTTTGAATGTGTGTGTGTGTGTGTATGTGTGTGTGTGTGTGTGTGTGTGTGTGTGTGTGTGTGTGAGAACACTTGGGATGAGGTCCTCAAAGCAGAATAATTAGAACAGAAAATACAGATTATACTGTCAAGATGTTCACAGCATGTGACAGTAATATAACCAAACTGTACAATAAATATATTAGTAGACTGTGCATTGTGCATGGAGCTAGAGACAGATCTGTGAATAGATAGACGCATGGAAAGATGGATAGATAGAGAGATCAATAGATAGATATGAAGGGTGGTAGGGACAGAAAGTCAAGGTAAAGGACATTAAGAATAATGGAGGAATAGGGATAAACTCTGTGTACACAAACCAAATATATGAGTTTTTAAGTCTCACTCTTGCTCATCTGACATCAAGAAAACAATTTCATGGTTGATTTTGCCCCAATTATATTTGATGAACATAGTTAATTTCTTTAAATTTCTATTTATTGCTTTGTGGCTAGCCTTTTTCAAACCTTTTCCCCAAACTCCTTATAGTTTTTCCTGCCATATCTATTGAAAATGTTTACACATTTCAAAAATATCCATGTAGAGCCAGGTGCCAGAAGGTCATACCTACAACCCCAGCTTCTCAGGAAGCTGGGACCTGGGGACACTGGTTCAAGGCTAACATTGGCAGGGAAGTTCAGGAATCTCTTACCACCATTAACAAACAGAAAGCTGGAAGCATAGGTGTGCCTCCCATGGCAGTGTGCTTGCCTTGAGTGAAAAAAGTATGGGACAGCACTAAGGCTCTGAGCAATCAGTGCTGACACAGATACAAAAACAGTATTCATGGCTGGGAAGTGGTAGAGTGCTTGCCTTGCAAGACAGTAACTCGTTTTACATTAAAAATAAAGAACTTGGGGCTGGGAAGGTGGCTCAGTGGTAGAGTGCTTGCCTTGCATACAGGAGGCCCTGGGTTCAATTCCTCAGCACCACATAAGCAGAAAACGCCAGAAGTGGTGCTGTGGCTCAAGAGGTAAGAGTGCTACCCTTGAGCTGAAGAGCTGAGGGACAGTGCCCAGGCCCAGAGTTCAAGCGCCACAATCGACAAAAACAAAACAAAACAAAAATTCATCCTATATGTGTCAACTTGGGACTACACGGTATTTGATTTGGATATATTTGTAATTTTCATTGCCATCTATTATTTGGCAAAAAACAGTTTTTATGCAATCAACCTCAGCTCAGAATGTTCCCCTGCACTTAGCAGTTATTAACAGTTATTAGGATTCTTCATTAGGCTCCTACTGCATACTGCCTCATGGTATAAGTTATTTTTCTTCAGATTTGTAATTCTATTAATGAGTCCACTGTTCTCACTGTATGACGCATTAATGTGAAGTATTCTTGGAGCACAAAGGGCTCTGTTTTAAGATTCAGCTCTGGGTTATTCTTTGGCCCATTGGTTAGCCACACCCACAATTTTATATTTTGAAATGTTTGTAGGTCACTTCTTAAAATCATTGGTAACTATTTACCTTATGATGAAAGAGCATCATTTGAATTTTTAAAAATTATTTGAATTTTGTGGAGTTATGCATGGCCAAGGACATGTGCCTGGAAAAGATATGTAAGCTTCAAATGCTCTTCATGTGTTGATTATATCAATATTATTTAAATTCTGCAGTTTTCTTCATGTTCTTATCACTTCTATCAATTCTAATTAACACTGAATTATTAACCTTCTTAATAAAGCAAATTATTTAAAAATGTACAAATATTTGGTAGATCTTGTTTATTAAAAAGATACCCATTTAATGTTTATCTTGTTTTGTCCTTTGTACATTCCATTTCATTTTCATATTAGTTGTCTCTCATGAAAACTTTGGTGGTTTTTTTTTTTGAAGTTGGGCCATCTGTCTTTAACAAGAAAGAGAACATTTACAGTAAGTGTTTACTGATTCATTCATGTTTCATTCCATAATGTGCTTTTGTTGTACCAATTAGGTGGTTGTACTTCTAATAATTTAATGGTAATCCTCAGTATGTGAATGAACATAGAAACCTAACAATACAAACTCTGAAGCCATCTCTATTCTTTCTCTCCCCTTCTGTTTTACAAATAATACATATTTTTAACTATCTGCTCATCTCATACTAATGTACTAGTTTTCCATGAATATACTTACATCTAGGGCTTTTTAACCCTTATGACCATTGTTGATAGGACTCATAACAACCAGTGTTTGTATAGCTTTACAAATAAAGTCTTTGCTTCCTTTTGTAGTTCACACTTTCTTCTTGGATCACTGATTTTGTTATAAGGAACACTCTCTAAATGTACCCTTCAGAGTCTTCTGGTAGCAAAAAGGTTTTAGGTAGTTTCAGAAAATGACTTCACTGTTCTTGAAAAGTACTTTGAGCAGGTAAGGAATTCCAAACTAAAAGCACTTCAGGGTCTTCATCCCACAGTTATCTCTACCATTGTTCTTGGTAAGAAATCAGTATTATGGACTGTTTCTCTCTAGCTATTTTTTAGATCTTAGAATGTTCTTACCGAAAAAGTCTTTCTTGGAAAAGTTCTCAATCAGTGCCTTCATGTCTAATTCTTTAGAATTCTTGGCTGTTTTCTAAGAAAACTGACTTTTCATTCTTCTCTCCAATGTCTCCTTTTAGGATCCCAATGACGCTAACATAACAGCAAACTTCCCCTTCTTACAATGTTCTTTCTGTGCTACATTTGATTACTATGTTTCACTTTTCAACACTTTAAAAAAAAAATTACTTTGTTAATTCTTACAGTCCGTGATCCCAAAAATCAGTGTTAACATTTTTATGACTATAGATTATGTAAAAGAAGTCTAGCACTGTATTTGCTGCCACAATGCCATTTTACCTATGTCTTTCCCTTATACCTGGTGAATTTTCCATTTAGGAGGTCATGTTGCTTGGGCTTTTTACCCTTGTGGATGTTTTGAGGTGAGTATGGAAGGCTTACTTAAATTTTGAACCACATAAGTAATATGAACTATGGGTAAAAATCCTACAAGTAAAATTGGTATTGCTGAAATGGTAGTTCATTGCTCATCCTTTTGTCTCAGCTATTACCAGGCTGACAAAATCAAATGTGTTGAATGGGTTCTGTCCCATGATATTTATTTAATGCATTATCTCTGCTGAAGTAATGAAGATGGTTCTCCTTTACACAGAACTAGTTTCTCACCCCATTACACCAGTGTTCTTCCCTGACATCTCTTAAGTTTGTGAAAATACAGCTCTAGGCTTGCTAGAATTGGCTGTTCCTGCCAGAAAATGCATATGCCCACTTAACGATTGGAGCTTTCTCAGAGAAATTCTCCTGGTATCTCACCAAGTTAACCACGAAGTAAAACGTCCTGTAATGGTTTCCCAGAAGTTTTAGATGTACGATAGTATGAGAGATTTTATTGAATATCAACTGTACCTTATTATTAAGACTTCAGTAACTAACTTGGTTCAGTATTCCTAATATT